TCCTCCTCCTCCTCCTCCCTCCTCCTCCTCCTCCTGCACTGATGCCTCCTGCGCAGCGAGCCGACGCGCGTCGAACTGGAAATCGCGGCCGCAGGCAGCGAATCGAGCCGCACCGAATCGCACTGCAGCCCCAGTGGCGGGGTCTCTGGCGATCTGATGTCGGCAACCGGCGGCTTCCTCTCCCTGTCGGCCCTGCGGGGCCCCGTGGTCGGGCCCCGGGGCCGCCGAGAAGGGACCCGGGACGCACGGCGACCCCCAGGCAAGCGGCCGGGCCTCCTGGCGCCGCGGATGGAAGAAAAACGCACCGTCGGGTGTCTGGGAACTTGCCATGGGGGAAAGGAGTCCTGGACGGGGTTTGGAGTGCTTCGGCGCGAGTTGAGGGCACCCAGGAGGTCCTCGTCGCCACCGCCGCGCCAGCCTCGAACGTTTTGTCGGAGCGCACCCCTGGACAGATCTGGGGGTCGATCTTCGACCGCGACACCCTGAAGGAAACGGTTCCACGACGCCCCCGCGGCGCGGCAGCATCGGTCGGCATCGAATTGGGAAATCGGATCGGATCGGAATGCGCGTCGGAACGGGCCGCATCGGCACGGAGTCGACATCGAATTGGATCGGCCGCGCCAGAATGCACAGCAGCGCCCATGCAAGCATAATCGTAATCGAATCGGATTGGGCTGGCCGACATCGATGTCGAAATGGATAGATCGGATCGACATGGATCCGGGGAACGGAGAAATTAGCGTTAACGAAGCGGTCTTTCTGACGCAGCGTTTCTAAGCAGTCCGGAGCAGTGCACAGCAATGCAATGCAAAGCCTTGCTTGGCACTGCTTGGCATTGCTTCGGACTAACTTATATTGTTTGGAGTTGTTTGGCATTGCTTGCAACTGTTGCTTGGCAGTGGTTGACACTGCTTGAAATCCGACCAGCCCTCTGGGCGTAGGTGGTTTAACGAGTTTCGCATTCGCTCTGCCACAGAGAACCCCTCTCCCTGCCCTCTCCCCTGGACGCCCTGCAGAGACCCTGCAATACCCCTGCAGAGTGACCCTGCAAAAAAAAACCTCCTGCCAATAACCTGCAAAGAACCCTACAATACCCTGCAAAACAACCCTGCAATACCCCTGCAAAGCCCACTGCAAACACCCTGCAAACACCCTGCAAACACCCTGCAAACACCCTGCAAGACCCTGCAAGACCCTGCAGTACTATGCAACACCTTGGAACGCCTTGCAAGCTTTTGTCATAGCCTGCAGTGGAACGCCTCGCACAACCACCCAGAGAGCCCCAAGAGGGCCCCAAGATCCCCCAAAAACGGCCCCAAAAAGGCCCAAATATTTCCCCCAGAGGCCCGACGGGGACCCCAAGAGAGCCCCTGAGGTGGCCTTCAGAGTCCTCCAAAAACCTCTCACAACAACAGCCTCCTCCCTCCTCCTCCTCCTCCTCCTCCTCCTCCTCCTCAGTTTCCTCGTGCCGCATCCCTCCTCCTCCTCCTCCTCGTCCTCCTCCTCCTCCTCCTCCTCCTCCTCCTCCTCCTCCTGGCGCCGCACATGGGCGGGACCAGCATCCTGGCGCAGCAGAGGGAGCTCGCTCGGTCGGTGGGCTACGGCTTCTTGGACAGCAAGATGCAGGCCAACTACCTGGCGAACCACTCGGAGCCTTCCCTCGCGGTCCTGGGGCTGGGCTACGGCAAGCTCACCCTGAAGGACCTGCAGGAGCCGACGAAAGTGGAGCCGTCGGGGAAGGAGGTCAAGTACAACCGCAAGATCGTCTCTCCGCCGCGGGCGCCCTCCGGCAAGGCGCGCTACTTCGCGGAGCGGCTCAAAGCGGGCTGGCTGAAGGACGAGACAGGCACCTGGGTGAAGGTCAAGAGCGAGGTCCTCTGGACGTCGACGTGTGCCTCGCCCCGCGTGGGGGCCGGCTCGACAACGGCAAGAGGCCCGCCCACCGCGGCGGGCGGGGCCGCGGCGGGGGTTGGGAAAATTGCCAACCCCCGCAGCCGGCCCAACGCAGCGACCACCCTGGAGGTGATGCCAAAGCCGCGGCGTCGCCAACATGGGATGAAGAAGCCTGGGAAGAAGAAGAGAGCCCAACTCAAGTCTGCCCGCCAACGCGCTCAGGAGGCGACATCACAGCAGTACCCCAACGTGGTGATCGGGCTCACTGGAGTGAAGGCCAAACGGGCGCTGGCGCGGCGACTATGGGAAGCTCACCGCCGCAACAAGACGCTGAAGCTGAGCAGGGACTGAGCCTGGACGAGTCTCTGGTCATCGGCGAGAAGAGCGGCGGCTTCAAGGAGGAGGTCGACGAGCGCCGCGGCCTGGAGGAGTACTACATTGGCGACGACGGCGAGGGCCTCGACATCGCTGGCGAGGGCGACACGGCTGGTGGCGGCGGCTTCCAGACCAAAGGCAAGCGCAAGAAGAAAGGCAAGAAGGACAAGCAGGGCGGCGACAACGGCCAGGGCGAGCAGTCCAAGGCGACGGTCAAGGCTGTGGGCGGCACGGGCCTCACAGAGAAGCAGGCCTTCATTGAGGAAATCCTGGGCCAGGCGTCGGCGCTGGCGGAGCTTGGTACGCTCGACGCGACGCTCTTCCAGAGGATCATCGGGGACGTCCAGGTTGCAGGGTCGTCGACTTCTGGTTGACCCCCGTGTCGGGCGTGAAGGCCGTCGATTTGTTACGGCGTTTTTGGCGAATTTGCCCGCTCGTCATCTTCGGCTTCGCCGTAATGGACAAGCAGGGCGTCGAATACCACAAGGTGGAGCTCTGGACAGGTGGCCTCACTTGTCCAAAGCTTGGAAGGCCTGAGTGGCCTCGGGGGGGTGCCAGCTTCTGTGGGGTTCGGCTTCGGTTTCCCCTTCTGGCCGCCCTGGGGCTGGGGGCTCGGTTTTGTTTCGGTTTTCTTTCGCCCCGATGCGAACCTGCGGGGGGCTGGCACCCCCCTGGGGTCGGGGCGCGGCGCGGCCCTGGCGCGCCAGGGGCTCTTGCGCCCGTTGTGGCGAGGCGGGCTTGACCCGCATTTAGTCAGACCCTCAGACCCTCTTCCTCGTCCTCCTCCTCCTCCTCCTCCTCCTCCTCCTCATTCTCCTCCGTGAGACCCCAATGAAGCTGGTTCGGCAAGAGGCCCCACGGAGACCCCGCGAGGGCACCAATGCGGCCCCAAGAATTCTTCAAGAACCTCTCACAACAACTTATCTGAAAGGCTGCCTTCTCATCATCATTGTCCTCGTCCGCTCATTCCTACAATCCTTCCTGCGCCCTCCTCCTCCTCCTGGTCCTCCTCCTCCTCCCCTCCTTCCCCTCCTCCTCTTCCTCCTTCTGCCCCCCTGATTGCCCCGAGAGGGTCCCGAAATAACTCCAAGAAGGCTCCCAGAAAACCCCACTGACCCCGGTGTGGCACATGTGCTACTTCAACAAATTGTCCCGCCGTCTCTGCGCCCCCGAAACGCTTCCAAGGCGGTTGTCGCACTGCGTGCTTCTACACTTCCCTGATCAAGGCAACTCACCTGGCGATCGTTTCTGGATGGGCTGGGTGGGGATACGAGAAGCGTCAACATTGTTGCTTGGCATTGCTTGGCATTGCCTTGCATTGCTTAGCACTTATCATTGTTCGGCATTGCTTGCCATTGCTAGGCACTTCTTGGCAGTGAGTGGCATTACTTGGCATTGCTTGGTATTGCTTTGCGTTGCTTGACGTTGCTTGGCGTCGCTTGATCATTGGAGGGCCTTGATTTGCATTGCTTAGCATTTCTTGGCGTTGCTTGGTTTTGCCTGGTGTTGATTTGCATTGCGTGGCACTGCTGGGCGTTGCTTGGCTTCGCTGGGCATTGCTTGACGTTGCGTGGTGTTGCTAGGCATTGCTGCGCATTGCTTGGCATTGCTTGGCGTTGTGTGGCATTGCTAGGCATTGCTGCGCATTGCTGGGCATTGCTTAGCGTTGTTTTGCAGTGCTTGATGTTGTGTGGCGTTGCCTTGCGTTCATTAGCGTTGGCTGGCACTGCTTGGCACTGTTTGGCACTGCCAAGCACAGGTGAGGAGCGAGAAAAGCCGAGCAATGCCCGGGGGCCGCCACTGCCACGCAACGCCGAGGAACAACGCCGAGGAGGCCCGAGGAATTCCGACGAACGCCGGGGGAGAAGAACCCCGCACCCACCAGTGACTAACAAGCAAAAGCCCCTTTAGGCAAAGCCTCATTGCGAAAAATTGGACATCTGCATAAACATGAACTCTCGGAGGAGGCTCCCAAGAGGTTGTCAGGAGGCCCCCCAGAGGCATCCCAGGAGGCCTCCAGGCCACCAAGAAACCTCCCAGAGGTCCCAAGACGCTTTCCAATGGACCCCAAGACTCCCTCAAGAGGCCTTCTGTCCACGACCCAGGCACTGCGGCGGGATGGGCTGAAGTGGATCAATAAAAGCTGAATGCAGCAACCGGCCAAAGGTGATTCAACTGCGTGGTGAAAAAATGCAGGAATGGCACCCTGGAGTGCAACGCACCCTCTGACTCAGGATATGATGATGCGCCCCTCTGCGCCCTGTAGGCCAAACGCCGCGTGCCGAAAGGGCAGCTGCAGCCAGGGATGCCCGGCGAGCAGGCGGCGCGCCGCCCGAGGTAGGGCCACTGCCGCCAGCGCGCCGGCCTGCAGGGCGGCCACAGCAGCGGCGGCAGCCGCTGGACGGCGTCCCCCGCGCCTCGGCGCCCTGCCTTGCGGCCAGAGGGCCTCCAGGACAGAGGGCCCCAGGGCGGCCCAAGAGGCCTCCAGGACGGCCCAAGAGGCCCCCAGGGCGGCCCCAAGGGGAGGCCCAGACGGGGGCGCCGAGCGGTCACTCCGAGCAGTCGGGCCTGTCCCCCTACAGGGGGATTCCCCCCCCCCCCCCAAAAAAAAAAAATAATACCCCAAAAATAATTGAAAAACAGTTCAAAAATAGTCTGGGGACTATGTTTTGACTACTTTCTCACCTTCTTGGGGCATTTTGGAAATCCCCCTGCAGGGGGACACGCCCGACATCACAGAAGGCCCGCGTCAGGGCCCACGTCTCTGGGCAGGAACTCGTCGGGGACACACTCCTCGCCCTCCGCGAGCCGCCGCAGACCCGCAAGACATGCGCGCTGCCGGCGGCGGCGTGCGTCTCCGCGCCCCCGCGGGACGGGCGCACGCGCAGGATGCCTAAGGATTCCAAGGAATTCCTAAGGATCCCTAGGAAAGTCTCACGGATTCCTAGGACATTCCTAAGGATCCCTCGGAATTCCTAAGAACGCCTAGGAATCCCTACGCATTCCCAAGAACTCCCAAGGATTCTTCAGCGTGCAGTGGCCTGGGGCTCCGCTCCGCGCGCATGCGCCGGCGACCTGGCTCGGTGCCCTGACGACCGCGGGCGCGTGGCCTGTGGCCGGCGCCCGGTCTCCCGCCCTCCCGCCGTGGCGGGGCACCCAGTGTGTGAAGTCGGGCGTGTCCCCCCACAGGGGGATTTTCGACGAGCAAGAAAAACAAACAATGCTCCATCAGAATGGCCAAACAAAAATTTTAAAACTGTCCCCAGACTCTGTTCTGACTGTTTTTGAGATCCCCCCTGTAGGGGGACAGGCCCGGCTCAAACCCAGAGGGCCGCGCGCTCGTCAGGGAGCTGCTGGGCAGGGCGGCCTCGTCCCAGTCCCCGAGGCCGTGGGCCTGGGGCCGCGGGGGCGGCCCCGGAGGGCCTCGGCGCGGCCCTGCCGCGCGCACCGCTGCGGTCGCTGCGCACGTCGCCGTGCGCATCGCTGGGCCGAGGGCCGGCAGATAGCAGCGCCTGTCTGCCGCACATCTCCCGCGCGACTGGCCCCCGGGCCGGTCCAATCGACGGGCGCACTGGCCTTCCGGGCGCTCCAAGGGGAGCTCTCCCGGGCGTGCCCTCGCTCTGCCGCCGGGGCTGGCAGGGGCTCGGGCAGCACCTCGCTCCCGGGCTCCCCGCCTGCCCTGCCCCAGCGCTGGAGGCCTGGACATGGGCGCCAACGCCAAGACGGGGGGCTGCCTCCACAGGGGAGAGATGATCCTGGACTTCGGTGTTGGTGGTGAGTTATTTCGGTCGCCTCGAAGCCAGAACATGACCACCATCGCCGGGATCGGGACCTTCCTTCCTCGGTGGAGGAGCACCGCCGATATCGGTGTTGGCGTCGACCTCTCGGCCTGCGACAGCGGTCGCGGTGCTCTGACGTGCTGCGGAAGGCTCGGGAGGCCTCCGAAGCCTCCCGCGAGGCCCCCGAGGCCGCCTCCGAGGAGCCCCGCCGCGCTCCGAGCGGCGGCCCGCCCCCGCCTCGCGCGGCCCCCCCCTCGGCGCCCCGCCCAGGAGGGGGGGGGCAGGGGCGGAGGGAGGGGCAGGGAGGGGGAGGAGGGAGTCGGAGGGAGGGGCAGGGAAGGGACGGGGAAGGGGACGAGGGCATGAGGCGGGGAGGAGGGAGGGACGGAGGGAGGGACGGAGGGAGGGAGGGGAAGGGGGGGAACATGGAGGGGTGAGCAGATGGCGAGGCTGGAGATGGCCTCGGTGACGACGACGAGGTCGAGGTAGTTCCATCCAAGGGTGTCCCTGTCGTAGAAGAAACGACGCCCCTGCAGCTTCAGCCTGCAGACGATGTCAAACGTGTAGAAGGCGAGGAAGACGCTGTTGAGACTCTTCCAGCACCGCCAGTCGGGGTTGTCGAGCTCGACCGCCATGGTGAGCGAGTTCACCCCAAGGATGACCGTCCCTATGATCTCGTACGTGCTGCCGTGGACCCAGGCGAAGTCCCCCTGCACGAGCACGCGCACCAGCTTCAGGGCCCGCAGCACCCGCAGGAAGCGCAGGAACCTCAAGCCCCTCAGCATGGTCAGGTTGAGCTTGACCCCTGGCACGCCGGTGAACGTGAGCAGGGGTATCACCCACTGCTCCGTAACACCGCTGACGACGATGAGCATGTCCATCCAGTTCCACCACACCTGGGAAGCAACAGGATACAGATGCAGCTACCCTCTGGACCTCTGCTGGGGTGCGTTTTGCCCGGGATTTCGAGGAGAATCCAGCCGTGGCGACGAGCAGCGGTGTCGGTAACTTCTTCTCCCCGGAGCACCACGCTCACGGGCCCGCACAGCAGCTCGCGCTGGTAGTACGCGGCCTTGACCGAGAGCTCCGCCACATACCACGCCAGATAGGCGTGGTCCAGCAGGACCTCGCCCCCGCCCAGCGCCGCGCGCACCTCGCCCCCGAAGGCCATCCCGGCGAGATTCAGGGCCACGACCACGTTGCAGAGCGCTCCAAACCAGTCGCTCTGCACCCAGCTCAGGCACCTGAGGGGAGGCGAACAGAAAGTGTTGGTCCCGCTGCTCACTGGACCTCCCCAGGGGCGGCTTCAGACCAGCACTTCGAAGCGGCTCCGGCCGCAGCGACGAGGACCTCCCGGGAGGCCCACAAGGGCGAACACGAGGGAAGGATAGCGGTATCGGCACCTTCCCAAACTTACGACGTCCTCATTCTGTTCATGACATGGACCCCAGCT